CACTTACTAGCTACAATGGGCTTTAATTTTCTGACCTATGAAAATGAGGGTAGCAATATGTACTTTGTGAATATCAATAAAGACTTGTTTAAAGTGCCAAGCACAGTACCAAACATAAAGTGACCTTTAATAAATGTGAACTCCCTGTTTATACGGTAGCGCCCCCTTATCCACCGCTCCCCTTTCTGTGGTTTCAGTTACCCACAGCCAACTCTGATCTGAAAATATCAAGTGGAAACTTTCAGAGATAAAAAATTCATGTTTTAAACTTTGCGCCTTCCTGAGTAGCGCAAAGAAATCTCAAGCCATCCTGGGATGGGCATCATCCCTTTGTCCCTTGTACCCACACTCCACATGCTCCGGGCCCTTTAGTCACATCGTAGTTGCCTTGATTATCATATTGGTTATCAGAGAGAGGCCACATTCACAAACTTGTATTAAAGTATGTTGTTATAATTATTCCATTTTATTATTACTGTTGTTAACCTCTTCCTGTGACTAATTTATAAATTAAACTTTATCATAAGTGTGTATAGGGGAAAACTTAGTATAAGTAAGGTTCAGTGCTATCTATGGTTTCAGGCATCCACTGAGGGTCTCGGAACATATTCTCCCCAGAAAAGGTGGAACTAATGTATAAATAATTGTCACTGTGCTCCTGGTGAAGGTTCAGGATCGTGATCCCTGGGGCCACATCAGGGAAAAGGCCTGAAATAGAATGACATCAACGCTCTGACTACAGCCAGACTCTACATGGGACGCTAAAGACAAAGCCAGGACCTCTGGCTGCAGGATGGACCTGGACCTTTCCCACCACTGGCAAACAAGCAGCTACTGACACCACTGAACTCTCTCAGGCCAAATGCCCTGGGCTGCCTCTGTGGAGAGACTGTGGAATGTGATCTGTACAAGAGCTGTCCAAATGGGTTAAGGGAAAAAAATTAAGTGATTTTTTTCAGCAAGCAATTATAGTAAGCCCAGAGTATGCCCCTAACCATACTAGATGTTTGGTTGGTGTGGTACAGGCTCACAGAGAGACATCTCCATAGGTCCCACAAAAAAGATAATAATCTATTGAAAGGGGATGTAAGTAGATCCAGGAAGCTCGGGCAAGTAGAGACTAGTCTATACACCAGTCATGAGGACTTCACCTCTTCAAATCCACACACAACTTGATTATAACTTGAAAATATTTTTCCAGAAAATGGCATCCAATTGTTCTCTTTCTAATAGACTATTGATTTCACATCTTTTTGTCCTTACACTTCCCAAGATATAACCTTGTTCAGAACAGCACATTTAGGTTGTTGCTACATAATGTTTACATTATTAATATTGATCAAACCAAGAGCAAAGAGGAAGTTTAACCTAATTTGTTTTGTGCAAATTCCTGGGGATGTGTTAAGGAAGAGGCAAATAGTTGTATGGTCTACACATGAAGGTGTCTATCATTCCAAGGAGAAATGTCTTTGGGAGTTGACAAAGAAAGAAAATGATAACATAGGGAAAGCTTTCTTAAGAAATTTCTACTGATTAAACAGTCACCCATTGTAAAGTCACTCTCTTACATAGCGCTTCCTCTCCAGAATCAGCTCACATCCAGATCTCGGTCTTTGCCTAAAGCCCAAAGTTACAGGTATTTCTCAAAGAATGACATGTAAGAACAAAGATTGTCAACATGCCTAAAAAAATATTTTTTAAGGTATGAAAGTGGAAGCAGTATGATTTGCTTCACAAATTGTTGTAAATATGGTCACTTCTGTTATGATTCTAATTCCAGTTACCTTTATAGGCTGTGGTCCAACAGCTCCCCCTTGGGTTTCTTTGCTTCCCTGCAACTTCTCACACAGTCTGCAAGGGGATGGGGTGGGAGGAGAGGGATCCTGAGCGCACACAAGCATGATCTTGGCAACGCTCCACTGAGTTTCAGCCTCCTTATCTGCAAAGTGAGCAAATTATTCCAGAAGCTCTCTGAAATACCTTCTAGCTCTAAAATTTTATCTCATTTAAAATCTTGTGCAAGGATAAAAAAAAATCTAAAGCAACTACTTCGTCTGAAATTCTCAGTGTTGAACATTTTGAAAGGCCAAATTGATATTTCTTGAATAAATGAATCTTCCCTGAATTCCTAGGAAGGGTACACAGCAAACAAAAACCAAGCTCAGTGATTTTAAGTCTCCTACTTCTTTTCTGTAGACTAATCTTCAGTAAATAACATGGGAAAAGCAAATAATCAATAAACTATACTTGATTCAGAGTCCCCAAATTTGGATAAAGTCATTTCTCCGAACTTACTTTGTTGTATTTTGTTCAGCTTTACTGACCATACCTGGCTGCGCCAAAAGAAATTATTGCAGTGAAACAGAAAACTTTCTTAAGGGGAAACTCATTTGACTATCACACATTTCCTATTAGTCTTCAGTGTGGCAGATCCATGCATTCCATCCACCCTCCCTGTAAATACTGGCAGAAGGAACGCCTGCTTGAGTGTGGTTGTCAAGAAAGTAATATGGGTGTAATAATTTAGAGTTTTAATTTTAACATTTCACCTAAAATGTCATATTGTGTGCTTGAGTGTGATATTGTTATGTTACAGAATTACATGCTTATGATTTTGTAACAAAAGATTTTGTAATAAAAAGGGGACATCATTTGTGCTGGACCCTGTACATTTCTCCACTGCAGAGAGGGACGTGGAGCGTCTGACTGCTCCCTCGGGGCTTTTGTTCCCAAGTCTGAAGTCCTGAGGGTAGAGCTGCTGGCAGACGTTATTTGTTCACCCAGGCCCAGGGCTGAATCACTTGGGTTATTGGGGTAAATTTGAGTTGTTTCCCAAACAGTGACAAGAATGCTGTAACATGGCTGACCTTAGGACTCGTGAGGCAGGGAAAACCAGCTCACGTTAGCCAGGCCTCGTGGTCCATAAAGTGCCCTCAACCTTCAGAGAAGTACCGCTTCACATAGACTTTTAACAGGTCTGCCCTGCTGAAACCCAAAACTGTTTTCCCACACATGCTCTTGCCTTCACCTTGGGCTGGTCTCACACATCTCACCTGCTCTTACTTATTTCCCCACAAGGAGGTGCTGGACCAGAACAGTCAACATAGAGGTTCCTTGACATACTCCCCCGACAAGATGTCCCCCTATGACCTATTTACAGAGCTTCTGTGGTCAGTAAAATGGGCAAAGCAGCTATGTTCTCCAATTAAAGATTCACAATAGATACTAACTTGTTAAATGACCCTAAGAGATTTAAAAGTAAAAAGAGAAAGGGTTGAGGTTGGAGGGAGACAGAGGGAGGAGAAAACCTCATTTAGCTACTAAACATCTTTGTAGTTTTTAAAAAAACTAAGTCTTGCTGAATTGGAGTTGTGCAAATGTTCCCACTTGGGAAGTTCTGGGCCAGATGATCACTGAAATTATTCTAATTTTGAAAATCTAAAGTTCTATTTATATATATCCTAAAGTACAATACTGATCATACCACTCCATTGCCAAAAATCCAATGTGGCACCCACCTGTAAGTTCCAAACTCCTTAGCACAGCATTCAAGACCTACCAGAGCTTGGTTCTAACTTTTCCAGTCTTGGTTCCCTTCCTTGCATCCACGAGTCTCTTCTTCCATACTGGGCTTCCTGGGCTCCATCGGCTCCTGTCTGCTGCTTTCTCATCTCTGGGTCAAGTTGGAACACCTTCTGTAGTCTTTGCACATACAAATGCAATCCTCTTCACTCAGTTCAAACAATCTCCTCCACGGTGATCCCTTCTTTCATTTATATTTAGAGCTCTTATTGAGGGCTCTTATGCTAGACAAGGTACTGGGCTGCTTGTATAGCAGTATTCCATAACTTCCCCTAGGCTTCTTGTAAGAACAGCTTTATACATGGTTGCCATCCTTGCACATACCGTGTGTTTATTGAAGGATAAATGGCCAATGTGATCTAAAAGGAAACCCTCGCAGAATAGAAGGAACAATGGCCTTGAGGCCAAAGGCGATTCTGATTCTGCCATCACCACGTAGGGACTTGGGGCCATTTGCCTGAGAGCTCAGTGTGCTCAGCTTCAGAGAGAGAGAGAAAGGCTGGCAGGACCCACAAGCCTCCCAGAACTAAGTAGTCTGAGATTCTTTTGCATTACAATTCACTTTAAAAAGAATTTGAGCCAATCCTACAGAATTAAAAGTAGAGTGAAAGAGAACAATTAGTGACCAAAAAAAGAACATACCAGAGGTCTATTTGAATTTTAAGAGAGAAAAAACAGTTAATCCAAAAGAAAGAATCTCTAACATTAGGGCCTTAGGGATTATCATGAGAGGCTAAGAGAAGGATTTTTTTTTATTAGAAAATTATCCTGAGTTCTCAAAATTGTCCATATAAATGACTACAATCAACAAGAAACAAGAAATTTAGCCTTTTTCTTGATGAAACAAATTATGTTCATTTAAAGTGTTGACACTTTAAAAAACAACTATGCAATATTTGTTAAAAAAAAACTACTTAATAAGGTACATCTCGACTACATATGTTTACAGCTCATCTCTGCAGAAACTACTTACCTCAAAAATTAACAAACAAAAAATCAATTCTCAAATACAGTGGTTATCAAAATGTGCTCTCAAGATCAGAGGCATCAGCATCACTTGGGGCCTCCTTAGAAATGGAAATTCTCAGTCTCCATCCCAAACCTCTTACATCAGAAACTCCAGGGATAGAGCCAGAAATCTGCATATTATCAAGGCCTCTAGGTGCTGCTGATAACACAACAAAGTTTGTGTGTGATTATATTTGGAGCTAAATATGTTATCAACTGTGCCTGTAAACTCCTTTGTCAAAGATACAGAGACATGTTGTTCTCTTTTTACTCCAGTTTGCTACCACTACTGTACAGCCCGCTTCAAAATGGGGCAAGAGCAAACATAGTTGGTCTCTTGCCTTTGTCATCTACAGGTTCCACTGCTCAGGCCTCCATGCATTCATTAATATCTGCGCCATCTCTTACAGCTGACCAAGCAGATCCTTGCAAATTCCTGGCCTGCGGCAAGTTTGCCCAGTGCGTAAAGAATGAGTGGACTGAGGAAGCGGAGTGTCGCTGTAGACCAGCCTACCAGAGCCAGGGGCACCGGGACCACCGGGAGGAACTGGGCCTCTGTGCCCCCGGAGAAGAATGGGAGGTCATCCAGGGAGAGGGAGCTCCGTGCAGGTAGGCGGAGCACACTGACTTTATAGACCCAAGAATTTGTTATTCATAATTCTGAGAAACCTATCATTAGAATTCATATAGTCTTTAAACTCATGTTTCTCAACCTCAGTGAGCACAAGCATCTCCTGGAAGAGGACTTGCTAAACACACGTCTGGGCTCTGCTGGGCTCTGCTCCTGAATCAGTAGGTCTGGGTAGGCACTGATCCAAAAACCACGCTTGGAGACCATTGCTCTTAGCCTTTCTACAATATTTCATTAAGACTAATAAGAAAAAAAAAAAAAAAGCAGCTGTGTCAGCTTTGAGAGACTACCACATGGTCCACTGCCTCTGTCGGGGTGTGTGTGGTGTGTGTAATACATGGCTTTTTTCCTATTTGCAGACACATTAGGTTTCATCATATGAAAATTGGGAAAATGTAGAAAATTATGAAGAAAAAAGATAAAAGTCACATTAACTGCTATTATCTTTTGGTGTACATGTTTATGTAAAATGTTCATATAGAATTTTCTAAAACAAAATGGAATCAGCCTGGCTTCCTGTTCTGCAGTCAGTTTTTTTACATAGAACATTCCCCCATGCCACTAAATATTTTCTGTACCATCATTTGTAATGATTGCATGGTAGTCCATTCTATAGGTGCGCTACAATATGTTCAATCAATCCTTCCTTTCTGACAGAAAGGTTAAGAGAAGCTCTTTCAAAGGAGAAAAGGTTGTGATATAATGGGCTTCTATGCATGAATCAGACTTTAGGATATAGGTGGCCTTGTGAACAGATAACACAAACGTTTCTAATTCTTCTCCAAGTCCTGTGACACCCACGTAAGACTCACGCTGTGGACTCCGCCCTCCCTTCTGTGTGAGCCTGTCTCACCTCTCCCCATTGTGAGCTTCCAATCACACCAACATTTCCTCAGTATTAATCACCTCAGACCTATGTCTTTATGAGATCGTCCTCATTTTTTACTGTTCTCTTACTCATGCTAGTGACCACAGTCCCTAATTTCCCACCCAGTGACTCATGGCAATCTTCTTCCACACGCAATCAACAAGAAACAAGAAATTTAGCCTTTTTCTTGATGAAACAAATTATGTTCATTTAAAGTGTTGACACTTTAAAAAACAACTATGCAATATTTGTTAAAAAACAATATTGTGGAATCAAAGTACAATTAAAATTTTGGCTTAGCCCTGGCCTGTGTGGCTCAGTTGATTGGAGCATTGTCCAGTAAACTGAAAGGTCACGGGTTCAATTCCTTGTCGGGCCACATGCATGGGTTGTGGATTTGGTCCCTGGCCAGGGTACGTATGTGGCAACTGATCAGTGTTTCTCTCCCTCCCTCTCTCTCTCTATTCCACCCCCTCTCTAAAATCAATAAGCATGTCCTCAGATGAGGACACCCTTAGCAATTTACTAATCAAGTGACTTTGGATAAATTACTTCTCTAAACCTCAATTTCATCATTGGATAATGAGAGTAATAAAACCCACCTGCGGTGTTACCCCAAGGAGTATATGAAATTTTGTTTATAAAGCATCTTTACAAAGAACCTAGAGCACAGAGTTTCCCTTCAGGCAAGTGAGGATTATGATGATTCTATCAATTTTCTCCAAATTAATCCCAATTAAAATCCCAATAGGATTCTTTATGGAATTTGACATTTTGGTTCTAAAGTTCCTCTAGAAATGAAAATGTACAGGAGAAAATCTTAAAGTACAATAGTGGGGAGACTGCTCTGTAAGATACCAATACATCAAATAATATTTAGAACACTTAGGTAGACATAGAGACAGAGAACAGACTAATAGAACAAATACAAGCCCGAAGTAAACCATTGTATATTAGGGAATTTATTTTAACCAGCATTTCAAATCGGTAAGGAAAGTATGGCCTGGTCAATAATGTTTAAAGTATAACTGGCCTTCCATTCAGAAAAAATTAAAATTAGTTTCTTACTACATATAAATCAATTCTATATCAAAGATTCAAACCTAAAATCAAAACTATGAAAGTATGAGGAAAAATACTTTTAAAGAATATAGTCTTGGGCTAAAAAAGCCTTCCCTAATTAAGACACCAATCCTAGAAGACATTAAAAAGAATTCCATAGGGGACAAAACAGCCTAAAATAATTAATGTATAAATAACAAGGTGAGAGAAAAATATTTATTACCTATCTTATATTTTAAAGAATGAACATCCAGCCCTGGCTAGATGGCTCAGTTGGTTGGAGCATTGTCCCGTACACCAAAAGGTCACAGGTTTGATTCCCAGGCAGAGCACATGCCTGGGTTGCAGCTTTGATCGGTCAGGGCAGGTACAGGAGGCAACAAATCAATGTTTCTCTCTCACATTGATGTTTGTTTCTCTTTCTTCCCCTCTCTTTAAAATTAATCAACATATCTTTGGGTGAGGATTTAAAAAATAACATTTAAAGGACGAACATCCATAACGATGAGCTTCTATGCATCAATAAGACAAATATCTTATTACTAAAATGAGCAAGAAACACAGAGGTGCAATTCAGAGAAGAAATCCAAATGACCAATAAAACTGGAAAAGATTCTCAATCTCACGATAAGCAAGGAAATCCAAAAACAATATGGCAATATAACTTATTACTCATGAGTTTGGCAAAAGAAGGCCAATAATACCCAGTGTGGGTAACATCAGGGAGAACTAGTCCTAGCAAGCACTGCTGGTGGGTGTGTCAACTGCAAAAACGTTTTTGAGAAATATTTGTTATTATCTATAAAAATTTTCATTTGACTCAGATCATCTACCAGATTATTCCTACACAAATAGTTTCACTTGTGCACTAAGACAGGTGTACAAAAATGTTCACATCACCATCGCTTTGAATGGTGAAACAGTTGCACAGCCCTCCCATAGGGAACAGTGACACCGTCCATGCGAGGCGTATTAGTCACTGTGGAACGCAGCAGTTACAAGCAGTAGCGCCACACTCCCAGAGCTGCCATAGGAAAAAACCAAGACATTACGTGAGAAAAGCAAATTGCAGGGTAACAGATCCTCGTTATGTAATAAATTAGTAACAAAACCATGTAAGCATATCGGGTTCAACCACATGGCCTTGCTATTTTGATAACAAATCATCAAACATTGTATGGTTCAAACAAATATATAATTAAAAGCACAGCAAATACATCGAATAAAAGAACCACTCAGCTATGATTCCAGTTAACAATAGAAAAGAGTGGAAATGGGGTCCAAGTTTTTTTAATTATGAGAATATGTTCCTGTCTCACCTGAGTAATGTAAAAGCAAGGGGTGGGGCGGTGGGGTTGGCAGAAAGGGTGGATGAGCAAGGCCCTAGTAAGGTGACTAAGGAAGAGGGGGTTGCATGTGGCTTTTATGAACAGTCATGGATTCCATTTTTCTTTTAATCAACCCTATTTGCTACTTCAGATGGCTGGACAGTTTGTAATTTTAACCATCTCCCTTCCTTAAGAAATGCCACTGTAATGCTGGGTTGTCATAAGTGAGATCAACAGAGCAAACCCCGGGCTGATCCGGAAGTGGACAACCTTTGTGGAGGTTTGCGGGGCTCTGCCCCCAACCTGTGCCCACCTTTGGGGGACAGTTACCATGAACTCCCGGTATTCAGATACACAGGAACAAGGTGCTCCTCACACCAATTCAATTTGACAAACATGTTTGAGTGCCCTTGTGCTAATTACTACATCAGAAGCTAGGCAATAGATAAGAAAGAAGAAAGGAAGCGAGGGAGAGAGGAAGGCAGGCAGGAAGGAAGGAGAGAAAGATATTCAATTTCCTTTGAGGGGGAAGGAAATCCTTATCATGAGGACAAACCCCATCACCCCAGGAGCTGCTTCAGAAGGACCATCAGTGCAGAAGAAATCTGAGCACAGCGGTGCTGAGAGTCCCTCCTGGATCCCCGCCACCTGCTCCCCCTCCCATCAGCCATTTCTGTTCCTCACAGATGCCATCATTTATGTGACCCTGACAATTTACTGAACTGGGATCAAATGACAAATTAAGACCTGATCAATCATTGATTAAGACACTGATGTAGATAAGAGGCTTTGAAGTTAATCCCAAGGTCAAATTCGAGCTCTACCTCTAACTAGTGAATTTGAGCAACATCCCTCCCCCACCCCTTTAAACCTCAGATTTCTCATCTACATAATGGGGATAATAGGAATAAATTCACGAGTTTAGGTAAGGAATAAGTGAGATGCTCCTCCGTGTAAACTCTCAGCTGCTAGCGTTATTGGACCTGTTTGATCATTATCAACAAAAGGAAGGCCCGTAAGAAAAACAGATTCCCTATTTGGTCCTTAAACCTCAACTCAGTAGCAAATCAGTTGAGGACATTAAGTTCTGTAACTTTGTAAGCAGCGTTCTCTAAAGAACTGTGAATTGGCTGCATTTCTGTTATTCTGCCTGTGAGTAAAGAAAGAAAATAGGAAAATTACTTTGAGGTCAAGTGCCTTGCCCAGATGAGTCCATTGAGGCACAAGGGGCTTTTCAATTGGCTCAGTTATTTGTCATTCCACTGCCGAGTCACTGGCATTCATTATACTTTTACCTTTATTTTTCCTATTCTTTCTCTCCATTCAGTATTCATGAATATACTCCATACATTTTTCATTTCCCTCAATTGTAGGTATTCTGTACATAGATCCAGTTGTACTAGGAACTTACTTGGCAAAATTCCCCTAAGAATAAACAAAATTTTCATATTCAAAGGTCCCATTTTTGGCTTAATGAATTTTACTTTTACTAGTCACAATTGTCATCACACACAGAAAATGCAAGTCTGGATTTAAGAGAGTAAATTATTTGTGACTTTTCCTCTTCAGGGCTAAACATTTTCACTTTGTCCTTTAATAGGCCTCATGTGTTCCTTGTGATATTATTTACAACGATGGTACAAAGTGACACTTATGAAGAGGTTTTAATAACATGAAAGTACTTGCTTTAACTACAGTGAGATGGCAGGCTTATGCACACGCTGCACCTCAGATATGATGAGATGGGCGCAGGAGGGAACGTCCACTTTTCCCTCTAGTAGCTGTTCCTCACTCTGTTTTGAGCTTTTTCTGCACCGGATTAGAGGCGGGGAGCCAAGGCGGGGTGGAGTTTAATATAGTCCAACCCAGTTTTTCAAATCTGATTAACGGTTTAGGCCATCCCTTGGAGCAACTCAGTTTTCTGGAAATATATAGTCATGCTCAAAGATCCTCTCCCCTTCCCATCTTCTCTTCCCCAAGGTGATATCTGTATGCATTGGGGGAGGTGGGTTCTCCCTGTCTCACCAGGTCCTTTGGAAAGTTTCTCTTCCCATATTCTCTTCACGTGTCATCTCTTAGTTCTGACCCCAGCATCTGCCTATCCCCTGGTAGTCTCGAAGCCTCCAAATCGCCCAACCAGGGCTAGACCAAAAATGGTGCCTTAACTGGTGGCAGGAGGAACAAGGAACTTGTTACTCAATCTCCTAAAACTGTACTTCTCTCTCTCTTCTCTCCTCTGTCTTCTTCCCATAAAGCCCTGGGACCAAGAGATTTCCCCTCCTTCCTATAGTGATGCCTGCCTCCCTCCTTCCCCTGAAGTTTTATGGTCATCAGTAATCATGTAACATGTATACAGAAAAGTTTGGATTGATATACATCACATTTTAGAATAAATTTTATTTTGAAACTGCATGAACAAAATGTTACTACAGTTGTTTTTCAGTAATCGCAACTCAGAACTTGACTTGAAAAATAACTCCACTTTTTCCAAGATGAATTTATCATTCATCTTTTGCATGAGCTTTGTTCAATCCTTCTGAGACTATTGCCTAAGAAACAGTAAGCCAGCTGGAAGGCAAAACCCGGGAGGATGCAGAAAGCACACTTCCTCCAACTCTAACAAAGGCACTGGCAAAGTATACTATCCATTCTTACTTATCATAATAATTTTAAAGCTAAAATAGTAGCGAGTTGCAGTTGCTGTTAATGTCGATAAGCCCAGGAAAAGAGTGTCATGTTTTTGGTTTGTTCTGTAGGTTATCAGATCACTCTGAAAATCGAGCACACAAAACTAGTGTCAAAAAGTTTAAACATCAGCAAAGTAACAAAGTACACTCATACTTTTAAATATTGATTTTAATTACTGAATCTTGAAGGACATTAAAACACTTCTGGGCCTATCTCTTGTTTTAAAGAGAGATAAGTAAAAGCACTTTTCCTTTATTTGCCAGGATTTTAAATTTAGTATGTTAAGGGGGGAAAAGCCACTTTCTGGTGCAAGAAGGGTAGAGAAGACTGGTATTAACTAAAATGTGTAGACAAAACAAAAAAAAAATAACAGAAACAATCCAAGTATCTTATAATATTCTTAACTTTTCTTATAAAAATGTCAATGCACTTCAACATGGTTGAAATTTTCATGATGATAATTTCCTGGAAAGAATCATTTTATGCTTATTCTTGTAAAATATCTTTTTTTATTTCAAATAATCAGTTAAAGCAAAAATATGTAGAAAGATATATAGAAGAAATAATTTGTGAACAATGAGTAACTTCAAAAATTCCTAAAAGTTCATCCTCAGATAAGTGTTCCTTCCAGTATCCTACATACCACTTTTAAATTACTTACCCATTCATCAATGTTTTTGCTAAAAAATTACTTTTTTACAAAGGGAAATAACTTATCTCTAATCAGGTAAAACAGCCTACTTTGAGCTGTTTCAAAATGATTTTGGGGAAACTGTCTTGGATAATTTTTAGGCTGAAATTACCTAGTTTCAAAAATTATACCTAGTTTTTTATGGTAAAAACGACTAAATGTCAACCATTGTCTGCTCTACCTGAGATCAACGGTGTTAGATGGACACAGGTCAAAGCTTGCACTAGAAACAAGTTCTTACAGTCAATATACAATCAAGATACTGAGGCAATCACACCAAATGCTAATGCTAATGCTAATGTCATGTGTCCAAGCACACACTGAGAATAACGTGAGCCATTCTGACTTCCTGCAACAAAGAGAGTTAGGAAAGTTCAGACTCAAGCCATAAAATGACAGTGGGACACAGGATCTAATGTTAACAAAACAGCCAGGATGAAGCAAACGCTAAGTCCTGAAGAGCCAAGTAGAATTAATAACCACAATTCAAATGAAGCAGCAACATGGGATAATAATGTCTGCTATGGTTGCAAGGGAACATGATGACTTTAAACCAGCGATCTGCTACCCCTGCTTCATGAGATCAACCTGAGAATCTCAATAGGTTTGAGAAGAGATGGAATATACTTCTAGTAGGTTAAAAAATTAGGGACATTGCGGGGGGGGGGGGCAGGTGCATCTTCAACCTTTCAAAAAAAAGATACCCTAAATGGCAAGCATATTCTCTCATTTATCAGCAAAGGTAATTTTGTAATGAACCATTGATTTGACTTTTGATGGCATTTCTTCAACTCTTAAAATTATTTCTCTTCCAGGTAACCAGGAAAAGAAATTCTGAATTACTGACTGCAGGATATGAAGATTGGGAAAGAAGTTAAAAAACTGAAAATGTACATATTATCATTTAATCGATCTCAAGAGAGATGGATTGCTTTCTCAAGGAAAACTGTACCCACTCTTGTCAAAATTCTGAAAAGATGGTCAGGCTTATTCACAGGTGTTCAGAAGCCAGGCTTATAGTCAACACTGAGAACCAGCACACAATGTTTCAAACAGAGAATCACGCACTCAGACAGGTACATTCTGAAGAAAAAGAAGCGTCTTTATCAAAACCCAAAACACAATCAGTGAAACCTTTCGGCTACTCCTGGGTGATAGCGAAGGTAGCATTAAACCAGGTTTGCTTCCAGCTGCCCTTAAAATATTACTCATAGATCATTTACAAGTGCAACTAGATGGAGTTTTTGGGGGTAGGGTGAGCAATATATCAGGAAGCTCTTCATGTTAGAATGTACATAAAAGTTGACTACTTGTGCGAGGAGATGCCTGTTTCTAAATGCATGGATGCATATAGTATGTAAGCACTGGTGAGGGTACATATGCTCCATACTTCAATGTGTATAACACACACACACACACAATTTCATTTCTTAGACACATTAGTTTTATAAGAAATTATTGCTTATGTGCTAGATTGTTTTGATGCCAATTATTTCTGGTTTTTTAAAAGAGAAAATTACTGGGCTTCAGATACACACCATAGAAAATCTCTTCTTGTTACTGCATACAGCAACTTAAAGGAATACACTATACTAGGGGGTGGGGGTGATAAGGTTGTACTTTGTGACATAAGCAATTCCCGTTTCCCCCCACAGATGAACCGTCTTCCTATAATCCATTCATTCCATTACACTAACTCCAGCGTGTGTTTAGGTAGATTAGCAGCAAGGTAATCCAGTTCAGCCAGTTTTTAATGTGCTATTTAATGAAAAATGAATTCCTCTGTTATCTTTTCAAATATTCCACTATCAAATACATTTGCTGCAAAATCTTAACTTCAATAAAATGTGAGCACCATATATTCATTGACTTATAATAAAGTGGCTATTAGTGGCTGTGTTTCAGTAGCTATTCCTTGGATTCGCTTTATGGATTACATTGATTTTTAGCATGATTTTAACGCTGCTGAAAGATAGTAAAATATTATACATTGACATCAACATTTTAACAGTAAACTTTAAAAATAAAAACAAAATGTTTCCCAATAATAGAAACAATCTTTAGGGAAGTGGTATTTGTCCCTGGTTACAAATCCTTGAGAACTCGGGTTGTCATAAATGCAGATTTCATCCTTATTCCCACCCGAATCCTCCCCAAAAGTGAGGAGCTATGGTAACTGACAAGGAGTTCAAATTGTGATATGGCAATGCAGTGCCTCAAAGCAAGGAAGGAATGGCAACAAGAGATACACCTCCCGCCATGTCCCTGGAACTTTCCAGAGGAAAACATGCTTGTTAGAAGCGTAAGTCGACCAAAAGCTCATGGGAAAAAATTGCATCATAAGAGGATATGAAAATCTAATATTCTCATCTCCCATAATGTGTCCTCCACTCTCGACAACTCGGTTGTGTTCTAACTACTGCAGAGAAGGTAGTTTTTGATGGGGAAAGAGAAATAGGTAAATTCTCCATTTTCCGTGGGAAGCAACTGCCTCTCACTCTTTGGATCATCCACTTCTTAGACTGGTCTTTTCAAACCAGCCAGAGAAGAGCTGCTGAGGTCAGACGGCTTGAGCCTCTTCATACTCTCAGAAGACCCACCTGGATGGTGAAAGGTTCCTGACGAGAGGTATTAAGTAGCCTAAGCTGTATGTGAAGGACTCTTCTTTGGGTCTCCATTTTTTACATCCTGTGTCATCTCACAAGGGAGCTGGAGGAAGGGAGCCCAGATTTAGTTTTTCTCTAATCCGGGTAAATGGGAAGTTGTGGTTCACATACCTGCTTATTTCCTGGCTAAAAAACCCACAGGAGTTTGGGGTCAATTATCCAAGTCCCTTGCCCCTTCCCACAGCCGCCAGCATGGGGTTTCCAGCTCTAGTGACGGTGTGAAGCTTCAGAATCCCAGACTTCTCAAACTTACACCATCTGAGACGTGGGGCAACACGTCCAACACTTACAGCTTTTTAAAACAGAAAATGCCCTGTAACTGTATTAAGAGCCCAAGATGCAACAGGAAGTTCTATGTAGAAAGCATTTATTATTTTTATTTCCAGTACATCCGTATTTTAGGAAAGTATCAGATACACATTTATAAGGAAATGAGGAAAAAAAGAGGTAACAGTTGCAGTTAGATGGATTTTCAAAAGTGAAAAGACAAATGGCCAACTAATAAACCTTTTTTTGAGGTTTGAAGGTGAGTTACAAATTAGGATTAGAGATTCTCTTATGGATGTGTATTTTTTCCGATTACCTCTGGAAAAACGTATTGAAAAGGATGACCACCAAAAGTATGACAACTTCCTTCACATATTAGGTCAGTGATGGGGAAGGAAGGATACACTAATGTGAACTGAACTTAATTATATTTAAAGATCTGGTCCCACATAGGTAGGTTCTACCTCAAGACGTATCCCTGCTTGATCCCTCTACGAGGCTTACATATAGAATGTCATTTCTGTATGCTAAGAATTTATACACCACGTCTCTCTTGATCCAAGGTTTACTAACCATAGCTTCTGCTCTTATATATAATTCATTCTAAACTTTGGCAAAGATCTAGAAATGCTTTGTCACTTAAAATGCATCGCTGTTTTCCACCGTGGGGTGTGGCCCTCAGAGGCACCCCCTTTTCCTTCTCCTCCACCACTGCTCTTCTCTTTCCCTTTTCTTACAACTGTTTCCTCCAACGTGTCCTTATTCTCATTTCTCAGATATGCTCTGTCCTGTTCTCCTTTGTTAGTTTATCTTCTGTGACAAATAAAAACTCTCAACGCCTTTTACTGCTGGTAACGATAGAGAAAGCCTGTCACGCCTCTGCAGCTGTGGAACGACAGAGGAGCACCTCGTCGTTCCTCTGTTGTTTCTCATTTTGATTCTTCTCTACATTATTGGAGCAATGGCACTTATCTCTCTTTCATGGTCTAGAACTCCATTATTTGACCTCTCTGGATCTCTGTTACCTCTTTGGTAAAAAGAGGTAGGTCTACCGCTAACATTATATTAACTGACTGAGGCATTCAATAAATATTTATTCTACTGACCCAAGTACTCTTATATTACTTCAGGTAACGAAACCAAAGATCTACACATTTGGATCCCCTGAGAACCATAGTTAATAACCTGTGAATGAAATATCTTTCAAAAATCCAATTAATAAAGCTCTATAAACAGTAAATCCTCATCACTGTTTTTGCCCATCAGTTTCTATTCTATATCTAAGCTTTTGCAAATACCGCCTATTTTCCACTTGAGATGTTCTCTTCTTCATTGCTTGCAAAACAAAAGGGCCCCCTATGTTACTGGAAAGAATGACCTGTAAGAGGTCATTTCAGAAAGCAGAATTCAAGTTACAAGTGAATGTCGTTTGTGTGGGATTGTGCTCCTACATGCATTATTTCTTCCTCACATAATTCTTTGAGAAGGTGCCACCTACTCAGCTTTACAACTGAAACTCACTGTTCCTTGACATGTGTGTATTAGGAAAACTTTCTGTCAGTGCATACCCATAGCTCACAGTGATCTCACATATCTCAGATATGCGAGTGGAATTAGGAATTACATAATAACTGAGTTGAATGTGAAAACATTTTTTTCTCATTTTTAATATTTAATGTATGCCTACATTTGCAAAGCATCCACTAAGGAAGGGGCTGTATTGAGTAAGACAAATATTAAAAGCAGATTAGTTCTTAATATATAGTACAATGGCGTAACCTTCTAATTTTAAATCTCAATTAAAATGACTAATTAAAATGTGAATTTACTTTTGATTTCTACAGTTCTCACCTAGCACCTGTGGCTTTGATTGCGAACATCATAAAGCAACTGCATCAACATCTTTTAGACGACAATTTCTGCTCTTTCCCTTAAAGAACTGAGGTCCTAAATTTTTGCAGCAAAGTGGCTTCTGCGTGTCTGTGCCTATACTGTATGTAGGTTACTGTAAGTCTGTCTGAATTAGGGCAATTCTCCTGGTAGCCAAGGTTAACTCAGGAGACCACTTTAAATAGACAAGTTCTAGGACAGCTGTGGGACATAATTAGCAACAAAATGGCTCAGGACTAACTATAATTGTACTATTAAAGACTTGTAAGAGGGCTTTGCTGTGAGATATTTCTTACAAATTCTTCAAAACGTTAAGTCCTCTCATTATAATAGTTTTATGGTTGATTAGTTTTCCATCTAGTGCCCATATGTACCTAGAAGATACACAAACTGTTTCTGAACATAGTACTAAAGGGACAAGTCATTAAAAATATATTTGGTTACTAAATTTTCTTTAAGGACCTTATTACTACTTAAGAAACAAAGCTTATCATTCATTATCCTATACAAATAAAAACATCAATTAAAGGCAAATGATGAGAAGAGAGGGAAGAGGTCACTTATTTTAGTAACCAGACTTTTGTCACCAATCTCAGGGACCAAATGACCCAAGGGTGGGTGAGTCTATGGAGTAACGCAGCCTTCAAAAGATAAACATTTTCACATTCTCAGTAGCACAGACAGGAACATCTAATGTCTTTAACAGAAGACAATCATTTGCACAGTATCATAATAAATAAATATTTCTGTACAAAGACATGAAAAGCAATTCTTAAAACAGTGTCTGTGACTCACAAGCACTAATATAATCAGCTGGGAGTTATTTTCCTAACTGAGGAACTCTTTCTAGGAAAAAAAAAAATCACTTAACATTCAGCTCAAAGGTTAGTGTCTTTTAAAATCAGGGGGAAAAAAAAGAGTACAGAGAATAATTTTATTTTCTAATTTTATTCTAAAATACAAACAAGACTCTTTAGGATTATGTCAACATAACTCCTTGATGTATTTTTATCTCCAAATTCCTAACATGAGAGTCATAAATATTAGACTAAAAA